CAGTTTGTGTGTGCGTGATGAGAATGAGACAAAAAGCAGGAGTGACTGGCGACGGCGAGATGCTGTATCGGCAGTTGCTGTGAGCGGGGTGGTGCGCCGGGATGAGGTCTGGGCGGCGTTTGGTGGCGTGCCGGCTTGAGTTCTAGGCGACGGAGCTGGAAAGTCGCCGCTGAGTGTGTGCCTGTGTGTGTGGTCGGCGACGAAAAGAATCCGGCGACAGTTAGGGGCACACTGTGTATGTATTTATTTGCTGTGTATGTATTCTTGTGTGTGAGAGAGAGAGAGTATGGGGTGGGGGTGGTTTGGGGTGGTTGGTGTGCGGCAGTTTGACCGGGAGAGATTTGTTGAGGTGGAATGGTCCCACCTCTTTGTGTGGTGTGGAAATTACTGTCCTTAATAAATGTATAATTTTGACTTTTTTTAGTTATTAGTAAAATTGTTAAAATCGAATAGGTCATCGAATCGGTTAAGCTATCGATTCAATGGTTCACTGGTCGGACTAGTGGTCAAACCGGTCAAATCAATTTAACTAGTGGTCGGACTAGCAGTGATAGGATTAGATCTTTCAATCCGTCCAAAATGCCACGTCAGACAGAATGAGTTGGTTACTGAACATGATAGAGTTTTAAGCCAATCCTATCCTCTGTTTACCTAAGATGATTAAAATCTAGTGGTCTAAACCTAAAAAAGGAGGTTACTATTTTACCCTTCTCAATTAACATATGTAAATTCCGCTTCTCGTCTTCCTCTTTCATTTTCCAAAACTCTCAACCCTAATTTCGAATTTGTATCCAAATCGACGAACCCTAATTTCGAATTCCAAATCGACGAACCATAACTTTGAATTTGAATCCTACATTTTCTCTACATTTTCGATAGTACAGAAGCCACGGTGGTGAGATTTCGAATTTGAATCCTACATTTTCTTTGCAGTCGGACGCAGGCGAAGTGGCGCAGGTTTCACCCATCGAAGATTTGAAAAAATGAGGTCGAAGAGCACGACTATTTGACGAGGTATAACTCGGTGTCCATGTGAATGTGTTATATGATTCCAAGAGCAAATGTTTTCCCCTTTCGTCCCTTTTATAATTGCACTTGAATTGAGAATATACGAATCTATTTCATTCGTTCTTAGAATTTCGTGGTTGAGGCAGTGGCAAAAAGAAGAAAGAATTTTTTATCAACCCTCTGTTTCAAAATACATCCCAAGAGCCGCGAGCCCCCAATCCAATTTCGTCGACACCGACACCCAAGTCTTCAATCTAGCTTCCTCTTCCATTTTCTTTTACAAGGTAAATATGCGCTCTGGAATGTATTATGTTTTATTATCTGTTTCAAAATGATCTGAAGGCATGCTTATTAGATGGAACATAAAGGGAAGATGCGGTACTTGCTTGTTCAGTTTAAGTCATGTCTATTCTCTGTGTTTGCAAATGATCTACAAGCATAGTAAAGTTTACTCATCATTGAAGGCATGGCCGATAATGATGAGTAGTCTCTGTTTCTATGCTTTCTACATGATTTTATCATACTAATGACCTTTGATCTTATGAGGTCTATGCTTATTTTTTATGTTATGTTGATTGGCTTTAAAGTTGGGAAAACTAATATATGTCCTGTTCATTGCATTTTTGCGTCATTGTTTTTGTGTATCCTGTTTGTGCCTCTTTGAAAAAGAGATAAATCTCCTGTTTGTGGGAGGAGAATGTGTTTGATATGTTTGAATCCACTATTTTGCAGGTTGTTATATTTCGGTTTATAAGGCCTATCCCTTGACTACAGTTTATGTTTTTTTCAATTGATGCTTAGTGTATGTTTTCGGTGTCGTTGGTGTCTTATAAGCTATGTGTCTAGTTGTCAGAAAAAGAATTTGATGCATGTGGTACGTTTTTGTTGCATTTTTTTGGTTTACAAGCCAAGTGTTAAATTGTTTTTCAAGGAAAAAAACATGAGTTATTCAAGTTCAAGTTCATCAAGAAGAGTAGCCGGTGTCTTTTGTACCTGCGGTGAGGTTGCTCGTCTGCAAACTTCGTGGACTACCAACAACCCAGGAAGGAGGTACTTTGATTGTGCCCAAAATGGTTGTCGCTTTTGGAATTGGTTTGATCCTCCGATGTGTGCAAGATCAAAAGAAATAATCCCCGGCCTCTTGAGTAAAATAAACCGGTTACAAGCTGCAACTAATCGCCACAATGCCGAGTCTGCAACTGAATTTGAGGACAAAGACAAGGAAATGTACATGAAAAAAATAAAGAAACTGGACAAAGAAATTGCACAACTGAAGAAGAAGACCAAAGTTCTTGTGCTTTTACTTGTAATCTCAATCGTGTGGATGCTTATCACGAATTAAGCATAATAATACGTATCTACTTTTTATGGTTTGTGTTAGGTTTTTGTTTAGTTTTGTTGTACTCTTCTATATGTACTCATCTACTTTCTATGTCTTATAATCTGGAACAACATTATGTAGTTCAACCGTGGTTTGAATGAAATTTCTTTTGTTTTGTTGTATCTGTGTCCCTTTTTAAATAACCTTCGATATGTCAATTGATGATAAAGCGTAAAGAATAGATTTTTACTGTTTTTAGTTGTAATGTCAATGGTGTGGAATTTCGTTTGTTTTATGTATTTGTCTCCGGTTGGTTAAAAACATATCACGTGTGAAGGGTTAATTCACCATTCAACTAAACTATATGGTCAAAATATTAGTGGTTAGCATGCGCTATGACAACACGTTGCATGTCTACATGTAGGGTCAAGCTTTTTCTGCAAAGCTGAGTAGATTGGACTAAGGCTTCACGAGCTTGTTAGGCATCAGCACATGGTTGCAGGTCTACTTTCATGCTTAAGCTTATTCTGCAAAGCTGACTAGCTAGGACTAAAGCTTCACGAGCTTGTTTAGCAGCGGCACATGGTTGCAGGTCTACTTTTATGCTTAAGCTTTTTCTGCAAAGCTGACTAGATAGGACTAAGGCTTCACGAGCATGTCTACCATCATGTGTACATGTCAGGCAATGCATCACATATCCGCAATCATGATATTTTCCTATATAAACAGCCCATTGCACAACAAACGTATCCAGACAAAAGAGAGGGAAGTGGTGAAGGATTAGATTTCGTAAAAATAAATTACTTAGCTTATTTTCATAAGTTGCGATGGCTCCTGATTTTGGTGTAGTGCAGGCTGACTACCTGTACGACCTATATTGGACGCCAAAACTTGATAAGTTCTTAATCGAATGTTTGCTTGATGATAAGTTGTGTGGTCAGTTTGTTCCTGGTGCAGCTAATACTGACTCCATCGTTGATACTACGAAAGCAATAAATTCGTATCATCATAAGAGCTTTACGACGGAGTACATAAGAAGTCGCATTGATAATTTAGCCAAACGACATGACGTTTTCACATCCCTTAAAGTGAAGGATGGTGTGCAATACAACGCCGGCGAAAACAAGTACCATTGTTCGGACAAGACTTGGTATCAACTGGTAGATGTGAGTTTTGTCAATGATTTCCCATTTGCTTTATTACACACACCTTAGACCTGCAAACTAATATGTATTTTATCTTTTATGTAGTGGGATAATTTTTCAGTGGCGTACATGACGGAAGGTGATCCGCAGCATGACAACATTGTAGAGTTGTTTCGTGTGGAGTCGACGTTTGTACCTCCTTTCGAGTACCATATCTTGTCTGACAGTGATAATGAACCCAATATGAATACAAACAATGGCCGCAACAAAAATCTTCAAATTATTGATGTTGAGGACTACACCCCAAAACATGCCCCTCCGAGTAGGTTAGTGCCGTACCCTGTTCGAACCGACATCTCACGTAAAAAACAACCACCACGTCCGGCCTTCTATCTGGGTAGCACTTCAAAGGCCCGCCAACAAGAGCATTCCATCCATAGTCAGACTGGGTCAACTGATGGATCTGTCAACCAACCGACATACTACAACTCCAATCACAGCCGTGCGGATGAAGTGGATCCAAATTCTTCATCCACTGCATGTTCTGCCACCCCTACGGACTTCACGCCGCCTAAATGGCCGTGGTACTAACCCCTTCGTCCAGTGCATGTACTAGCCCCTTCAGTGTATTGGTTGTTTTTATCGTTGTACTCTTTAGTTGTTTGTCATGGTTTTAATGAGCACGTAGTAGTTTGTTAGGTATTCTATGTTCACATCTCTTATGTTGTGCTTGTCTTATCTAAGTGTATGCTTGTTAGTTTTATTGGTTGTCGGTGTTATGAAGTTGTGTTCTATACGTTTCCTTCTCCTGTGTGCTACGTTAATATTCACCCCTGTAATGTTTGTAATTTAGCACCCATTAACAAAATTTAGGCGAAAAGCATTTACAACCAAAATATAAAAAAACGAAATCCAAAATCATCCATTTTTCCAACATCGACAACAAAAGCTAAATTAAATTCCAACATCGTCAACAAATCCATAATAAATAAAAACCAAAATTCGCAAATAAGCACCCACAAAAGTCTGCAACATCAACCCCAAGTGCACAAGGTCCACTACATATTAGACTTCCCCTACATTTTGACTTTGAATTTTATGACTTCATCGTGTGGGAGGAGAAAGAACGTGCAAACCTCACCAACAACAATGTCGTTGTTATCGATGAATTGTCGTGCATGACCATTCTGTAACAGTTTCTTCCCATGTCCATGTATTATGTCGACATCATACCAAATGTCACCAAACTTCAACATTGCGGAGTTGTAATTCACATACTTGCCTTCAATGTTATCCCTCCAGAATTGCATTGGGATTGGCTAATATAAAATAGACGTTAAAGACAATGTTATAAAATATGTAATTATAATGAAATTATAATATTACATCAACCAACATACCAGACGTGCACGCTCAACATGAGTTGGCCTTATCTCGAGACTAAACGTGTAATGTGGTAGCCTCTCACATCCATTGGGCTCCATCACCAACACTTCAAAGTCGAAAATGGTTCTGGGACGGAACACCAAAAAGTAGCATAGGGTTATGTCTTCTTCAAGAATGAAGTCTCTCCAGCCATCCGTTAATGTCGGGCAGTTGTTGACCATATCCAATGTCGCCTCATATTTACGACCCTCGATAGTCTCGATACTGCACCGTTGTGGCAGCACCACACCACGGTAATGGTGGTGTGTTACTGGCGGGAATGCCTACAAAAAAGGATGTTACAAGTGTTAGTTAAATACAATGTGTAGGACATCCACTACTAGCCGACATAACCACATAAGTTCATATATGCCCATATACACATATTAATGCATGTAACTGACTGTTTACAACCAAATACGAGAAGCCGGTGAAATATATTGAATACTCATCATGCGTCAAATGCCCAAACAACAAAAGAAGAAGTGGGACCTTTGAAATCACCAACCAAAACATGCGTAATTGAAACTTATACACACACATACACATAAACAATAAATCATTTGAACATGTAGTACACACGTAAACAAGATTCCCTGTTTGACTGCTTTCTTCTTTGTCTTTTCAGGTCTCTTTCATCCTGAACTCAGTTTAACATACGCACTAGTATTAATATAACAGATTTAGTGAAGACTGCCCAAATCATAATAACTTAATAGTTGACAATCCAGACCTGATAAAAATAAGTTGCAATTTCAAGTGAATGCTAAATAAAAATACAAATATTACTGCACGAGTCCCTAACCTTTTCAACGAGTGGTAAATGCTAATTATATCCAAATCACAACCCTCGTTTTAACTTTTTTTTTGTTTTTTTGGGGTTTTTTAATGACAGAACAACACCTCATGTACACATGAAGAACAAATTACTACATTCCTGAAAAGATGAGTGGGAGATGAAATGAAATCAAATAATTAATTATGTAAAGCATAATTAATTAAATAAGAGTGCAACCCAAAAAAATAAGTATTTTTTTACTATTGAAAAGTGAATATCTTACCAACTACAATGCTAAATAAAGGGTACGTTCTCGGGAAAAAAAAAAGTAGACTATATTACCATGGTATGGAGCGTACGAAACTGAACAGCCTTGAAGAAATGAGGACCGTCACCGTCAACATCCATGTTGTCCATCCCCTGATTGTCGTCACAACAAAATAGAACAAAAAAAAGGGAGCTTTGCAATGATACATTATAGAATTATATTGCATAAATACTGCAATGATACACACAGAATCCGAATGCATTTCTTTTACAGTCCAACAAAACAAACCAAAAAATATATCTTCAAAAGCAAAATGAAAATAAGCACATCAACTACAAAGTCTTCAAAAGGCAAATCCAACACACAAAACACACATTAATCATTCGCAAGTCCTACCATCACACAAAGTTTCGACATTCCACATCAGACATAAAAGTGTTATACATTTCCAACGAACTACAAACGTCCTTCTTGCATCATTTTCACCATGATAGCTTTATCTTCCATGGACAGGCTGAAAAACATTGACAACTCCTGTTGGTTCTTACATAAGCGCATCGTGACAACCATTTTATCCTCTTTTGACAGGAAATGCATATTAGACAATGAGTCAAACACGACATTTCTTTTCTTCTCCGCCTCATGCTCAAACCCAAGCCTACATGCAATCCCATTCAAGCTCTCTTTTGTATTTTGAGAAAAGGTCTGCATGATATCAAGAAAACGCTCCTCGAAGGGACTGTCTCCCTTCCTTTTGCTACCGTTCACCCTCTTACCTGCCTTATTTCCGGGCCCGGACTCCGTACCTGAAGTGCTACCCATGCGAAGACCTGGGCTTACATCAGATTGGTTCTGATGTGATGGAACATCCTCATTATCCGAGTCTTGTTGGTCTTGCATGACATGCTCTGGAACGTCATTGGCTGCATCTTGAAAGGATTGTGAATTTTCACCTGTAGCTCTGTCTTTCCCAAATATTTCAGCCCAATCGTTGATGTACGGGAAAGATTTGTTCCTAAGTGTTTTTGCATTTAGATCCACCTACATTTACCACATACACGTAATTGGCACAGATGTTTTGGAAATATTATCTCTTTCTTACATCCCATGATGAATGGGTATCATAACTTACCTTTACCCATTGTGCCCAAACTTTATCGTCGCACGAAAAAGTTTTTGTCAATTCACTCCACCCGAAGCCCGAAGTTCCTTTGATGAGTGCCACACTCCTGTAGTTCTTCATCCACACATGTATTTTTGAGCTGATGTGTGGTTCAGCTTGAAGGGTGCAGTCTGGTATCTTTAACTTCAATCTTTTCTCTATCTCAAAATTATATCCCTGCCTAAACCCATTATCTGCCCTCCATCCCTCGATAACCATGTCTTTCAAAATATCTATTAGGACAGACTCCTCACGCCGGCTCCACGTACGTCATCTTGCTGTTTGGGAGGAGGAAGATCGACCACTTTCTTGGGTACATGAGTAGTCCATGGTGGTACCTGTTCTCACGAAGGCCTCTTTTAAACAAAAAGGATTCGTTTGCATTCTTAATACAAAGACACATCGCATTATCCAAAATAATATATTCGTAAAATTGATTAACAAATAAGTAGACCAAACCAAACAAGAATGGATAAAACGTCAGAACAAAATGGTATAAAAATAAGACAAGCCAACAACCATGGAAACGTTTGTTCACCGAAATCTCATAATCGTATATTGAAAAACAAACTTTGTTAACCTAAAACACATTATTCTGCCAATCATGAAACATATCTTGTGCCAATCGGTCACGGAACTGTGTCCATTCTGGGCTACTATCCACGTGGTCTATGAAATCATCTTCACCCGTAGTTGTGGGCAATCCAACTTCGGGGATCTCAGGAACTAATGCTTCAATTGGATCAGTGGCCATTGATGTACGTATGAAATTGTGTAGGAGCGCGCATGCCATGATAATGCGACTTTGTGTTCGAATGGAATAATATGAGCAACTCCTAAGAATTGCCCATCGCATCTTCAAAATTCCAAAAGAACGTTCAATCGCATTTCTAGCCTTAGCATGACGAAGGTTGAACAATTCTCTAAAGTTTTGTGGCCTGCGTGATCCTGTGCCCCACTCTTGTAAGTGGTATCTCACACCCCTATATGGCGCTAAAAAGCCGGGACCATTCGTATACCCACCATCCACCAAATAATAATTCCCTGTGTCACATTTTCATTTATTGTAAATAATGAAAAGCTTGTGTTCTGTTTATTTTAAAAAGAGGATTGGGTGATGTTTAGGTAATATAACCATTGGGAACACGTAGACCATGAGTCCTGGTAACAACATCACGCAAAACTCGATTGTCTGCCACTGACCCCTTCCATCCACAAACCATGTAAACGAAGTTCATGCTTCTATCGCAAACCCCTAGTACATTAACAGCTATACTACCCTTACGGTTTCTATAGCGTGCCTTGTCAGTAGCAGGGACTCGCACGTCAATGTAGGTTCCATCTAGTGCTCCTAGGCATCCCTAACGAGACAAAACCAAAGATATTTATTAGTTCGTGAGGGTTGAACTAAGAAATTCGAACGACGTTGAGAAATGTGTTGTAGGTTACCTTGAACCATTTCCACCTTTCATCGACACAATCTGCCTCAACTGGTTTTGGTTGCACAACGAGGATAGAGTGAATTCGGATGACAGCGTCAAGAACTCGGTTAAAGTATTTGCTTATGGTTCGACCGGATCTAACGAAATCAAGCTTTAAAGTGACATTCTTCTTATGGTGAGCTAGAATTGAAAGGAAAATAGCCACTTGTTCACTTAAAGGAACATTTCTAGATTGCCTAAGTCTGCCAAAGCTTTCAAGAAGGTGACACAGACGGCCAAAGGAGTTACGGTCCATACGTAGGTTCTCGACACAAGTTGTGTCACTCACGTCGATCAACCTTCGCATGTAGTTGACCTGATGTGGGAGTCTATCACTAACTCGAAATAACGGGACGTGGTTACTGCCCAAACGTCGTCGTTTTCGCCGAGGACGGATGAATTTCATATAGTAATAAGTAGCTAGTAGCAGAAAAAGTTGAACACTACACACGACCTCTTCCAATATAGCAACAACCGCTAATTCTTCTCCAACCGAATCCATCTACAAATGTGGCTGAATAAACCTGATTGACATGCTTATTACACTGAGTTGTGGAGAACTAAATGTAGAAATACCATCAATATATCATACATAACAAAGTCAGATCAATTTATCCATCGAGTACAATCCATTCGACAAATATTAATATAGTCCAATCATATCCCGACAAACAAGCGATGCCGAACTACACAACTATCCTACAGTGGTTCAACCATTACTTTAAACTGAGCATATAATTGCATACGTTTTCTAATTCACTAGAGAAATTTATTAAGTAATGCTTCTGCTTTTGTTTGAGTATTTTAATTACATCCTAACATAAAAAATCAATCGTTTAGTATTTTCTGTACATGCACTGCTTTTGACCAGGCTAGTGCCATCATATAGAAACACGATGAGAAAAGGGAACACAAAAAATGAATTATGGGGAAGACCGTCCAATTATCTTGTTTATTTGGATATCTTCTCTTTCACCACCTTCCTTCATTTGCACATATATATACAAATTACTGTCAGGCCAAGTCACTAACCACATTTGGATTTTCATAATGAAAATCACACCATTGAATATACGCAGACAAGCACACAAACTCATACAGCACACGAGCATAATAGGTTATTGGCATGACCAAGGGATTAAAAATCTGAGCCTTGTCAGTTAAGAAAATGCATTGGCAGTTGCTTTGTTTTTTAGTTTGGTTTTGAAAATGGAGAAACACCGTGAATGAACCCCTGAATTTTCTCCCTAAATTCACTTTTGATTCAAATGCAACCTTCAGAAGAACTAACAGTAAATTGGCCCAACTCAAAAGGACTTCACTTTTACTAGACTGAGAAAAGTATATTTCGGTTATTTCAGTAACTGCCTAGGGGCAAATGGACCAGTGGATATTCAAAATATTCTTTTATTCCTATTCTGTAAGTTATGTCTAAGACATAGCACGATATTTTTGAGCAACTAGCTTCAAATGTCAAATGTGTGATGCATGAAAAAACTAGCTTCAAATATACTTTGTTCCGACTTCGGCAACACTTGATTAATGAGCTATTCATGCATTAAGCAACCAAAGATAATCGAAACTCATTGATGATGATAATTGATAAATATGTTACCTAATGAAGTTCTGTACCATATCATGAATATATCCATCAGTACATGAATGAAGATAGAATATGATCAATTTCTTAAATATCATTCCAAACAAAATTTACAAAGAAAACTCAGCAATCAACTGGAAGCATTTTTTACAGAGATGAAACACGATGACGAAAGTAATGGCAGAGTCAATTCTATCTAATGCAATTATGCTCATGAATGGCAGAATCAGTCTCTTGTTAATTATTGTAAAAATTCCTCCTCTTGTTTAGATGTTTATTGAGTGGAAACAGGAAAAATGAACGTTCAATCTATAAGGACCAAAATCTGCCAGAAAGATACTAGTGAATAACAGAGTATACATTAATACTTCAACCTGCAGCTCACACAGACGCAAATCTTCATCAATTAAAAGTAACAATAACTTGGAGAAAGGAAAACAGAGTAGAAGGAAAAAAAAAAAACAAATACACCTGGATTGACATACACCGAAATATGATAGGGTTCTAGTTGAATTATTGAACTACATAATTAGGGTAGATAACAAAAGAATTGTAACTGGTACATATAAACCGGAAAAATGAGTTTTAAAAAAATATGAAACAAGAAATAGTTTACAATCACTTACCTAGCCTGGAGCCGTGAAATCGTCGGGGATGAGATTAAGGCACAAATCTTCGAGGAACACAGAGCAGCTGACAAATGGGGGAGAATAATATGGTATAAGCAACCCGCACAACGCAAAATTAAACCAAAAAAAAAAAAAAATTAAGAACACATCGTTGAATTGGCGGAGGAAAATATGCCCAACCGTCGAGCAAGCTCTCAGCAATTGCCACCTGCGAGTGTATCATGTTAGTACGAAGAATTAGAAGTAAAGAAAATCCTAAAGAACGAAGAAGACAAAGAAGTTGCAACTAGGGTTACCACGGAGACGACGAGGTAGGGCAGACGAGATCCTATGGCGATTTTAGAACAAGGAACGAAATATAAATGCCTAATTCTGTAATTTAGATGACATAGAGGGGCAGAACAGACATTTTTCGTGATAAAGTGAGGTCAAAACGGGAAGGATGAACGGCGGATTATTTACTCAGACCAAAATGGACGGATTATTGTAACCCACCACATCATGTTCCAGACGCCGGGCCCACGCGCCACATCAGTAAAATCCGAATCCCCAACAAGCCTAGTAAACAAAGGATTAGGTTGGTTAACTAACCTAATCCAATCCTATCACTGCTAGTAAACGACCCCATAATATATTATTATATATACTTTTATCATTAATTTTATAGTCTATAATAACATTTGTCAAAATAAATAAAAGGAAAAAAATTGTCTACATGTTTATGTAATGGCCACATTTTATAAGAATACTATGTAATGTTCAACTAAATTTGTCCCTTTCATTAGTTCTAAACTTTTAATAGCAAAATAAAGCTCAAATAAAACAATTCCCTTACATAGCCTCTCCTCTGCTGGTTGTTTTCATACGCAGGAGATGAAAAAAGAATAATATGTAAGGAAATAAAAGAGATAAGAGGAAAAAGAAAAAGAAAAAGATAAAGAAGAGAGATA